GAGAGAAGGATATCTGCCCCAGGCTTCTCTCTGTGGCTCGTAGATGGCCATCTTCTTCCTTCCTCTGGATCTGTATCCCAACACCCTCTTTTAAAAAAAATATTTATTCATTTAGTTTTAGGTGGACACAATATCTTCATTTTATTTTTATGCGGTGCTGAGGATCGAACCCAGTGCCTCACACGTGCCAGGCGAATGCTCTACCTCTGAGCCACAACCACAGACCCCCAACACCCTCTGTTTTGAGGACACCAGTCATGTTTGATGAGGGCCCATTCTCATGGTCTTGATTATCTTTCTAAAGACCCTGGGCCGGTCAGCTTTCCATCCCTGTGACCAAACTATACAACAAGAGCAATTTAAAGGAGGAAAGATTTATTTGGGCTCACAGTTTGAGGAGTCAGTCCATGGTTGGTCAGCTCCACTGCTTTGGGCCAGAGGTAAGGCCGAGCATCGTGGCAGAAGGGGTGGCAGAGGATAGCTGCTCAGCTCCCGGTAACTCAGAAGCAGAGAGAGAGAGGTGTTGGGGGTGGGAGGGAGCACTGGAGAGAAGAGGTACTCTTCCAGGGCACGCCCTCCGTGGCCTGCTTCCTCCAACTGGGTCCTACCTGCTGGTGGGCCTTTCTGCTACCAATGGATTAATCCACTGAGATCAGAGCCCTCATGACCACTCTCTCCCCACCTGACACACATGATTTGTTGGGGGACGTTCTAAATCCAAACCCTAGCAGCCCTGTGTGCAAGCATATCCCATTCATAGGTAAGAGGGGTTAGGACTTCAGCTTCTGGGGGATGGGGTGTGGATTCAGCCTCTAACATGATACTGGCCAAAAGCTGTCTTGCAGGACTGGCTGGAGGCCTGGAATGATGTCCGAGGAGTCGGTTTGTCTCCCCAGCTCCAGAGGGACTGGTGCTGAGCCTGCTCCTTTCTCCTCCAAAAGGATGCACTATATTGCTGCCATAGGAGGGTCCAGCCTGATCCCAAGAGCCCCTGGGGCCAGGATCCTCAGTAAAAATAGCCAGATCTCCTGATGGGAGTCCACAATGGACTTTGAACTCTGAGGACCTAAGGGAATCTCTATCTGATGGAGCTTTGAGGATCTAGGAGGTACTAACCCAGGGTAACTGTCAGGGCAGGAATAGGCCTGGGTCACCTGTTGCCCATCTGAAACCATTTAGGTCCCCAAATTGTGTGTCCCTGTCTGATGACTCCGAGCAAGGACAGCCTGGGTTCTCAGCTTCTCAGCTTCACTGGGAGGCTCTGCAGCCAGCCGAGTTTGTGGGAAATCCGATCCCACCAAGTTCTCAGGAACCTGGGCTTCCTTCTGGGCTCACCTTTCTCATTATGGAAAAACAAAAAAAAAAACCCTCTGGTAGATCATTTCCCATGACCAGGTGCTGCCCGCCCCATGGAGACAGGGTGACCTGCTATGGAAAGGATTGACTTCCTCCTGGAAAAAAGTGGCCAACTTCTAGGGAAATGAGAGTCCCCAGATGAGCTTCCTGTGGCAGGCGGTGTTGTGACCTGTACCTTGTTCTCAGAAGAATCAGCAATGCTCTCTATTTATCCTCCTCACCAGAGCTCCCTACAGAGGAAAAGATCTCCATTTACCTCACTTCCTTTTCCCCCCCTGTTCACTCCACCCCTCTGCCCTCTGCCTTCTGCCCTCTTGAGGCTCTGTGTGTGTATCTGTGGGTGAGCTTGTAGGAATCTGTGTGTTTGTGTCTGAGATATGTGTGTGTGTGTGTGTGTGTGTGTGTGTTTCCATTTCTAGGAGGAGAGACCACAACAAGAATGCTTCGACTCTCTTCCTAAGGCCAAGTCCTGGGGCTCCACTGGGCTCAGAATCTCTTCCTTTGACATTGACGGTCAGATGTCTCTTTTCCCAGCTATAGAAGAACACACCATGGGGACATTGTCATCTGTCCACTCTCCCCATACTTTGAAAAATCACCCTTCTTTGCACAGAGGGTGCAATTCGGGCCATCCCGATTCCTGGGCATTTTGGGAAAGTGTGTTTGGCTTTGGGGCGACAAATTCAACCAGAGAGCAATACAGGTCTCTATTAGGATTGCATTTGGTTGCAAGTAACAGAAAGCCCGCTCCTATTGGATGAAATAGATCAGAGCTTATTTCTCCTGGAAGAACAAGAAGTGCAGAGGGGACATCCAGAGAGGGTAAGGTGCCTGAGTGGTGTCCCCTCAGAGATCCAGGCCATTTCCATCTCTGCACAGCCTTGTGTCTCCTGTGACTTCCTCGCCAGCCTGTGGTCTCCTCGCTGTACAGCCGTGCCAGTTTCACAGAGTTGTTGTAGGGACCTGAGGAGACAGGGTGTGTGAGAGCATGGATGTTCAGTGGTGGGCTGCAGGAGCCCCAGTGGGGTGCTATTGCTGGAGGGAGGGATGTTCTGTCATGGACAGAATGAAGCCTGGTGATAGAGGAAAAGATCTCCATTTACCTCACTTCTATGCTGACCTGGACCCAATTTGAGTGGCCTTAGGGACCCTCATGACTTCTCCTCCTAGAACAATGATATGGGTGTGGAAGCATAACCAGCCTGCTGTCTCAGACCAGACAGAGTCTTTGCAGAATCTTGGGAGGGAGAAAGATCTGGAAAGCCAGCAGCCAGCATCAGCTCGTGTTTCATCAAACAACGGACCGTTGGGAAGTGCCGGCTGCCCAGAGCAGACACAGAGCCGCCTGCCTCTGCTGAGGATGGCCCCGGGCTGCAGCAGACCTCAGCTGGTGCCTGGTCCCTTCCAGGCAGCAGGGCAGGCCACCAGCTGTGCGAGGCCACGGATGAGAACAGGGCACGGTCCTCTGTGGCCTCTATCCAGCTTCCACCAAGACAGAGATGACCCGGGCCATGGTGGTGCCCGTGTGTGACTTGGCTCTTCAGCAATAGAGCAACCTTTTGTGACCTTTCTTGGGTCAAGTTCGAGGATCTAAAATGTACTGGCACACAGCTGTATTCCATCAGCACCGAGCGGAATAGGTCTTGGCGTGAATTTGAGGATTACCAGCAGCCTCGTGGAGCGGGCCAAGGGAGGTCAGCTGGCATGAGCCCCTGTAGTCCCCGTCTGCCAGGTGCCCACGCCCACATCAGGGGTTTGAGATTAGGGGACCATGTGCTATGGCCCCCCAACATTCACATGGCCAACTTAGAAATGAGCCCATGCAGTCACCCCATCCTTCATGGGGATGGACTTAAGAGGCTGTAGGGAAAGTCAAAGGCCCCCTCCCACCAGCCCTTCCCCACCAGCATCATGGTCACCATGCCCCCATGGGCCGTTAATCTGGGTCTTTTTTTATATAACTTAATTAAAAACAAATAATAGAGTATGAATTTGAATTTAGGGTCGATGTCAGAAGACAATGTCCTGATGAGATGGGACTGGTCCCAGCACCTCCCGTGGATCCTGTGCTGTGAGGAGCCAGCAGGTCCACCGTCCTTCAGGCCTTTGCCCTCCTCTGTCTTGACCGGGGCACCCTGTCAGCTCCCTCACCCCGGTGCTTCTGGAAGCTTTTCCATATTTGAAAACAACTGCAGTAACGAGTGCCTTACCTTCTCCTTTCTGCTTCCTTGGCTTCCTTCTTCCCTCCCCCACTGACCACTAATTCGCCCCACTGACCACTCCTGGGCCGAGGCCCCTGGGAGAGGCTGTGTTTTCATCTGCAGACTCGTGCCCTCACACTGAGCTGGGATCCCTGGAGACGTCCCCTTTAGCTCTTGAAGGATCTCTGTTCTCACTTATTTTCCTGGATATATTTATTCCCTTGGGGACAGAAGCACACAGCAGCTTGTGGCACCGTTGAAGTGGCTGGAGGATGCCTTGCCACAGGCCACCCACCACCCTCTCGGGGCTTCCTCAGGGCAAGGGGACAGGCAGAATATTTGCCTCCTTCACCTTCTCTTCTCCTCCCTGTCCACCTTCAGTCCACTGTCTTGGTCAGGTAGATGTCCCCTGCCTGCTGGACAAACTGTCTTTGCCCAGAGCATTGTGGTGTTGGTGGAGATGTCCCCTGGAAAGTCCTCTGGCTTCTTCATTACTGAAAATGGGTCTGTAGAACACAGCAAGGGAGCCTCAGATGTGGCAGGAGATGGGTGCAACCCTCCACCCCTTTGGAATCAGGAGGAGGGGCGTGGGGCCTGCTCTCCCATGCCATAACCCCTGGCCCGAAAATCAGGGGCCTTACATCTTCTCCCAGCTTGGCTATGGCCTTCCTGTGAGGCCCCAGGAGGTTCCTGTACCTCCAGTCTTTGCACATTTAATCAGGGTTCTACATCACATTATCATCGTGACCCTTTCTAGTGCTGCAGTTTGTGAGTTTTGTGATCTGGAAGCCCAAGCTGTGAATGCCTGGCTACCAAGGAGGCAGGAAGAGCAGCCTAGAAGCTTCCTCCCTGGGCCTCCCCTCTGATCTACCGACTCTAGTGCTGTATGAGCCCCAGACCCCACTTGTTTACCCAGAGGGTCTGCAAAGAAGCCTGAGAGCCAAGAGCGGTTGAGGGCAGAGAGTGAAAACGCATGAACTTACTCTGTCAAGGGAAGGTGTACCTCGAAGTTCTAACTCCCCCATCCATTCATGACTGGGGCTGTGGGGGCTCTTCCTTCCTGAAGACATATTTTTGTATTTATTTATTTTTTGGTGGGGATCGGACCAAAGGCCTTGTGCATACCAAGCACCCACTGTATGCTGAGCTAGCTACAGCCCCCAGCCCTTGAAAACGTATTTAATATAGTCTTTCTTCCTGCAGTTTCAGAAGGACTCCCCAGCTTCCCTCTGCTATTGCCAAAACAGCCCTTTTAGGGAGGTTCACTCTGATTTTCATTCCTTATTTCCTGGTTGGCAGCCAACCAGTCCCAGAGCTTCTGGACCAGGTGTGGGCTTGGCCGGGCCTGCCTCCCACCCCCGATGTTCCCCTGGAGTGGGATCCAGGGGGTGCTCCTGGGTAGGGAGGGACCCCTCTGACTTTCTTCTTGTGTGTCCTTCGCAGCTTGTGATTGCCACCCCGTGGGCGCCGCTGGCAAGACCTGCAACCAAACCACTGGCCAGTGTCCCTGCAAGGATGGTGTGACGGGCATCACCTGCAACCGCTGTGCCAAGGGCTACCAGCAGAGCCGCTCTCCCATTGCACCCTGCATCAGTACGTGCCAGCTCCTCTTTCTCCCATCCTTGGCTTAGGCGGGGGGGTCCCTGTGGGTTTGCTGATTGTTGCTATCAGTGGTGAGTATCTCTGCATTCAATGCCGAGGGCTCACTGAGACCCTGTGGGAGACCCCGAGCTTGGCTCTGCAGAGCCAGCCTGTCCATGGCCTTCTGTCCTGACACACACACAAGTCTCTGGCTCCTGAGAAACAAGCCCCACTCTCCAGCGCGGGTCCCATTTCCACATCCCGCCTTGACCCCAGACCTGGTGGGGGCGCTTCTGACTACAGACACCCCAATATTCCCCTGCCTCAGTGCATTCAGTACAAAAAGGACTTAAATCCCAGGGCCGTTGAGAGAGTTAGTCACAGCCTCTGGGCACGGCACCCATAGTCCTTATGAAGGATCATAGCACTTTTGAGGGGTCCCAGGGATCCCATGGGGCCTCAAGTTTTCAGCCTTTGAGTTGCTGGAGCATGAAGAGGGGTGTGAGCAGGATGGCAGGGGTCACTCAGAAGCCTTGGCTCAGAGGGTTTCAGTGTTTTACATCTGCTAGGGTCATGCTGGCACGACAAGCAGGGAATTAGCCCTGGTTGGAGAGCCAAGCCTAATTGGGAGCTGGCTCCATCTCAGCCTCTTCCTCAGCCTGATGATTCCCTGGGGAGGGCTGACCAAGCCAAGAAAGGAGGGCAGGAAAGGGAGCGGATCCCAGCGAACGAGGCCGAGTCCCAGGAGCAGAGTTTGGTTCTCTGGAGAGAGAGGTTGGCAAGCTCTGGGCCCGGGGAGCTGGCTGCTGCTTGCTTTTGTATGGCCTGGCTCACTGGTTTGTACCTTTTTTAATGGTCACAGAAAAATCAAAGGAAGAATCATGTTTCATGACATATATATATATAAAAAAAACCCACGTGAAATTCAAAGCTCAGGGTCCATAAATAAAGTTTTATTGGAATAAAGCCGCACTGCAGCTGCTATTCACGGTGGAGTTGAATTGCTGTAGCAGAGACCTGCAGGCCCACGGTATTTACTACCTGGCCCATTTCAGGGGAGGACAGCCAACCTGTATTTCAGATCCCATTGTGTCTTAGCTCTGGGTAGGCTCTGGTGACGACGATGGTCAGTCATGAGGGACTTGGAACAACTTGAGAGTTGGGGGGTCTCACAAGTCTGGGTGCTGGGGACCCCCTGACACCAGCAGCCACCAGGGTGTCCTTGAGCATTTCCCGTAGACCTCACAGACAACCCCTCCTCCAGCAGGTGGGAACCTTAGACACTGTACACATCACCTGTCCCAATTAGATGGGGCCCTTTGCTTCTGGGACAGGCCAGCTGTGTTGGTCCCATCCACAGTTCTGACCAGTTTCTAAACCAAATAAAATTTTTAGAAAGGCAGGAGGAAATCTGGGGTTATGAAAACGTGGAGGTGGGGAGAAGAAATGAGGTCTCCCCTTTTTTTTATTTCAGTGCTGGAGATGGAACCCCCACATGTACTAGGCAAGGGTTTTACCACTGAGCTACACCCCCAACCTTTGAACTCCCTTTTAAAGGGATTCAGGGACTCTGTGGACGTTCAGGAAGGACTGGAACCCATATTTTAGATCCCCTAGCGGAAAGACCAAGCTCACAGGAGCTGGTGTATCAGACTTGGACCAAGAGCATGCCCACCTACATCCGCAGCCACAGGGTTCCATCCTGGGATGTCCATGAGCACCTGACACAGAGGTTGGGTGGCCAGTGTGGCTCTGTGGCCATCGCCCCAGCCTAATTCAGGGACTAGCGAGATTAGACTGGACTATGGAGATGGTGCCTCCGGAAGATTTCTGCTGGGACCATCTAGCTCTATAGGGCTCAGAAATGGCCTGGTCCAAGGTCCCAGGTTCCTAATGCGCTGCTGTAGTGGTTGCTAATAAGGTCACAGAGAGCAAGATCTGGCTCCACACCGAGGTTGTCCTCCACCCATTTTTCAAGGAGCAAACCCTGCCTCCTCCAGGTGACTCCTGCTCCCCAAGCCTGGGTATTCCCGTGGGGCTGATCGAAGTTGATGACATACAGCAGACCTGAGGAGGACTGACAGGTCAGGCCCTGGGTGCAGGGCCAGCCTCCCATGCCACCAGTTCCCTTGTGCTTCTCCCCACTCCTGTCCCTCCTTGACAACCAGTAGCCATGACATCTGTGCCAGGTGAAGGGAAAGGAGAACAGGACGATGTGCCCAGGACCCCCCCCCCCCGGGGGCCCCTCTGCGGGCTCGCTCCTTTTCCCTTTTCTGGAACTGTGGATTGCGCAAGGGACGAATAGTTCCAGGGAGCTTGGGAGGAGGCTGTGCTCAGCTCATTCTCTTTCCAAGCTCAAAAATAATATCTTCTTACCTTGTTTTCTCCTCCTCTCCATCCTGAACCTCAAAAAGAGATTCCCGTAGCACCGCCAACCACCGCAGCCAGCAGTGTGGAGGAGCCTGAAGGTAAGTTTCTATTGGTCACTTTTGCTCTCTGGTGGGACAGGAAGTGGGGAGGGGGATATTAGAAGGCCCAGATGCCTCTGTAACCCCCAGCCGGGTCAGAACCTTAAAAATTGAGCTCCTTCTATTGGCCTACCGAGGTGAGGCTGGTCAACCCAACAGCATAGGAGCTACTCCTTCCAGGGCTGCTGAGGAGCAAGGGCTGAGGCAGGAGTTCCTGGACACAGCGTCCACACACAGAATTCAGGGCACCTGTGAGCCCAGACGGGAAGAGAGTCACATCTTCACTTTCTTCCACCTCTCACTCAAGAGTTTGCCTTTCCTCCATGATGGAGGCGGGCCTCCGACCACAGCTCATTGACAGTGCCTGTGACCAGGCCATGCACAGAAAGCACAACGGTGTTCACATGGCATTATTGTTGATTGCAGATATGTGGAATCTTGTCTGTGTGTGCGTGATTGCTTCCAAATTACAGAAGTGACTAGACCCACACCTAGATGTGCATAATGTACCTGTACCTTGGATTGGGGGTTTTTAAGGTATCTGGGCAGCTGTACTCAGTGATGTCAATTTCCTATGTACGGACGTTTCCTGATGCAGGATGGGATTATGTCATGAAAACCCCATTGGAAGTTGAAAATATCGTAAGTTAAAAATGCACCGAATCCTCTTAACCCGGTGAACACGTAGCTCAGCCACAGAACCTGCTGTGAAGCGTTCGTCTCCCCTGAAGACGGGAGGCTGACAGGGAGCTCACTGCTGCAGCCCAGTGTCACAAGGGTCTGACGGTGTAGTCCTGGAAAAGATCCAAATTTAAAATCCAGAGTGTGGTTTCTATGAATACACATTGCTTTTGCACCATCATAAAGTTGAAAATTGTTAAGCTGAACGGTCACTAAGTCGCAACTCTCTGTATTTTACTTTAGCATGGAAAAAATACTACTCTGAGATAGGATCCACAGGGTTCTGTGGCACAAGAAAGGTATTTCAGCCCTGGCTGTGGGCACACATAAGGCCCTTCAGTACGTAGGACCAGAGTCCTGGTCCTCAGTCACCACAACTTCTCTGCACTGGTATACTTGGAGGTGGAGGGGAAGAGTCCCCAGCAAGGATACCCCTGGGAACCTTTCATTAGATAGGACTACAAGAAGGTGTGGGGGAACTTGCATACCCATGTTGTTATCTTAAATGAATTTTTTTATTTTATTTTTTGCCGTGCTGGAGATTGAACACCGGGTCTCACAGTTGCCAGGCAAATGCTCAACCACTGAGCCACATCTCCAGCCCCAGAATCTTGATTCTTGATACCACCATGACTTGGCAATCATTTGGCCAATCATAAGTGAGAGTGATGTACCTGAGTGAGACTCAACATGGATAAGCTCTTGGGCTGTGGGGGCCATGAAGGGGCTGTGTCCACAGCTCACCCCAGGGCAGGACAGATCTGAATGATCTCTCTGTCTCCTCCCATTTTCCCAGACCTTACAATTTGACTTCTTAGAGCTTTTTGCAACAATTCTCAGCTTTTTCTTCCAAATCAGAAATGGGAAAATGAGATAGGTGAGGGGAAGTAGGAAAAATATCTCCCGAGATGTCCACACAGGCTGTTAGAAATGGTATAAAGTCTGGGTGTAGCACAGAGATAAAAGCTGGTATCCAAGGTTCTCAGTTCTGTGAGATTCCTGGCGGGGTAGGGAAGGGCTGTAGATTAAACCCAGAGCCTTATGCAGGCTAGGCAGGCACTCCACGACTGAGCCAAATCCTCAGGCCTTTTTATTTTGGGATAGGACCTCACTAAGTTGCCCAGGCTGGCCTCCAATTTGCAATCCTCCTGCCTCAACCTCCTGAGTCCCTGAGATTACCAGTGTGTGCCCCGATACCTGGCTGTGAACAGCACTTCTAAACATCAGTAGAATCCTCTTGAGAATGTCTTCCATAACAGTTCTCTGTTGGTTATTCAATTTTTCTGACTTTTATTTTTAGATGGGTGGGTTGAACCCAGGGGTGTTTTATCACTGAGCTACATCCCCAGCCCTTGTATTTTATTTTGAGGCAGGGTCTTGCTAAGTTTCCCAGCTGGCGTGGAACTTGCAATCCTCCTGCCTCAGCCTCCTGAGTTGCTGGGATTACAGGTGTGTGCCGCCCACACCCAGCTTCTGACTTCTTTTGATTTTGTGACTGTTCATTGCTTTTGTTCTTTCTGAAGGTTTATCAATATGATTTTAACTGAAGCAGGCAGTAAATAAACATTCCTCTAAAAGGAGCAGGGAAGAACATGTTTGGAGCTTGGAGCTTTGGCTTGACCTTTGCTGACCTGCCCTGGGAGAGCATGAGCCAACCCCAGGACCCAAATGCTGGCCTGTGGATCCTCCTATGCAGAGAAGCTGGTCCAGCCTTGTCCCAGTGAGCCCAGACACTTCGGGCTGGAGGCCAAGAAGGCCTCCTGGGAAGCGGGGCCTGGGAGCTCAGTGCTTCCAAACCTGTCGGCTCTTGCTCTGTCTGAGCAGGGAAGGAAGGCCCCCGGGAGAGGCTGCCTGAGAAAGGCTTATTTACTTTTGTCTGTGTAATAGAAGAGAGAATTAATAAGCCAAGAATTTGTTCTAAAAGCGGATGGACATAACCTCACCCTGAACCCCCCTCCCCCTGCCAAAGGGCCAGCTTGCTCAGGGAATGTTCTTTACCTGCCCCCTGAGCTAGCAGGTGAGCCGCCATGGGCAGGGCGGTGAGGGACACAGTGCTGTGGGAGGCCTGAGGCTGAGGATGCCAGAAGGGAGGGACGGACCCCCACTCATAAACGGTGTTGTGTCCAAGGCTCCCCCGGCACACACCTACTTATTGGTTGTAGAGACCCCAACACCATGGCTCCAAGAGGGACCCCTAGCCCTCCATCAACTCAAGGGAAGTTCTTGAGTTTCAAATTGTCCTTGTGGAGGCCACTTGGTTCAGTGGGAGGAGCACTGGTCTGGAGCCAGCAGATCTGGGTCGATCCTCCCCTGGCTCTGAGGACTTGGACCCTCTGCCTCCCTTGAAGAATGCAGGGTGGGACCAAGGGCTCCCGGGGCCCTTGAGGCCTGGCTCTCCATGCTGGGAATGACCCTCTTCTCCTGCCAGATTTTTTCCGTTTGCAGAACCAAATGCTGCTTCCCCTTCCACCTCTGACAATCAACTTGGCCCACGATCCCTTGCAGCGGGCCGGGGGCGAGGTAAATGTGCCACACGTGGGCTGATTGGTAACAGGTGTGCCTTCCTCGGTAAAAACGTTCTGCTGGTGGCCACTTTCTGGCTGCTCCAGGTGAAGTCATTGAAGGCCGAGCTGGGCGGAGATGTGCAGGATGGGCACGCAGGACCCACGTGAGCTGACGCCACCCCACCCTCGCCCGGGCTCCGGGCCTTTCCCGGAAATGGAATAAAGAAAACCCGAGGAAGGAAGGGCAGCCTTTGAGTGGGAGGTGGAGCCAGGCGTGGGGAGCTAGCTGTCCAGCTCCTGCGCTTCCCCCACCTTTCAGTGGGGGCCTGGCCTCCTGCCCCCAGCTGACTTCTCGCTGTCCCTACCTCGTTTGGGGCTCTACTTGGGCCTTTGGCTAATTGCTCCAGTGGCCCCAAGCCTGGGCTTCGGTGTGCCACTCATCAGGGGAACTTAGAGGAAGCACTCTAGAACTGAGGGCCTACAGAAGAACCTATGGGAGAAGCTCTGCGCTCAGTGCTGGCAGGTGTGTACTGGGGTGACCTCAGATGTCACATCTGGTGGCCTCTTAGCATTTCCCTTTTTACATTGAAAAAAAAAAAAAAAGAGTGTATATAAAACTTGCAACCTGGGTCAGTGTGGGCTGTTCTGTTTTAGGCCTTTGTTCAGCTAGGGAATGGGGGGGTGACTGTGGGGACATACACATGAACCCTTGAATGACGCTGAGGTGTTGGTGGGCAGGACAGGAGGAGGAAGAGTTACTAAGGTGGGGAGCCCTAGCCCAGTTCTCCTCTGTGAAAGGGGCAGGATGTCGCTGGGTGTTGGGTGAGGTGAGATACTGCAAATGATCTCTTTGAATCAGTGGTGGCCTGTTGGGAGTGCTCAGAGAAGAACAAAGCCACATAAAAAGTGGCTTTATAGTGAGGCCCTATCCCAAACTAAAAAAGGCCACACTCAAAGTTGTCAAAATGTTAGTTCTCCCAAAAAAGTGCAAACACCAGCCAGCGTCAGGGTGGGTTGAGCCAGGCTGGTACCCTTTCTGTCAGGCTGGTACCCTTTCTGCTGGCTCCTCCATCCAGGAAGGTGGGATTTGGGTGGGAGTTGTTGACCTGAGGTCAGGTATGGAGAGTCAGCTTGATGAAGACCTTGGGAAACGGGAGGCTGAGCTGCCCGAGGCAGGCGGGAACCCAGGGAACTGCTTGGGGGGCCTCTGCTTAGCCCTCCAGCTGTGAGTGTCAGAACAAGCAGAGAGTTAAGGGCTAGAAATCAGGTCAGGCTTTGAACTTGATGAGAACCAAGAAGCAGAAATGGCCTGAATGTTGATCCGTGTGGGTGAATGGATAAACAAAATGTGGCAGAGCCATAAAATCGAACGTTAGCCATAAAAAAGGAATTGAGTATTGATACATGCCACAACACGGATGAACCTCGAAAACGTCATGCTAAATGAAAAGAAATCAGTCACACGGCTTCGTGTTGCTTGATTCCATTTATATGAAATGACTGGATGAAGCAAACTCAGTGGTAGGAATGCTTAATATCATTTAATCATCCACCTGTATGAGGTGGGTTCCATCATTATGTAGGAAGAAATTGAGACACGGGAGTCTAATAAGCATCTCTGAGATTCTGGCCAAGGTCACCTGGCTTTGGGATCTGAGTAGAATTGACCACCCTGGCCATCCTGATTCTCAGAAGTTATGTTGTTTGGTCAACTTAGGGTCAGTTTATTCTTCTTGCAAACGTGTGTCAGCTGGAGGTAGGAGGGATCCGAAGCTAAGAGGAGACAGGGTTGGTTCAAAGCAGCTGTTTTTGCAA